AACGCCCCCCCCGCCCACACGTTTCACAAATCACTATCCATAAATTGAACGAATTGGGGGTTGAAGTTCTACCTCACCCGCCATATTCTCCAGACCTTTCACCAACCGACTATCACCTTTTCAAACATTTTCAGAACTTCCTTGCTGGAAAATACTTCATCAATCAGGACCAGGCAAAAAAAGCCTTCGTGGAAGGGATTCTCGACCACCCAGTTTTTCCTTTGATGGGATTTATCGACTGGTGTCACATTGGCAAAAGTGTGCTGATTCGAACGGTGCTTATTTCGATTAAATCCGATGAGTAAAGTTATGATCGTTTAAAGTGAAACACTCAAAACGCTGAGAACTTTCCGGACAACCTAATAGGTGGGGTAGTAACATACGGGCCACAGTTCAGAGAAAAGAATATATTTGGAGTGTCGCTGACCTTAACGCTTTGCCTTCGTGCCGATGCCACGTTCAGAAAGCGCGTAAGGTTGCAGCTAACTGATAGATACATAAAAAATTGCAAATTTACCTGAAAGAAACCATCAGGGTTTGATATAGCATTGACTCCGGATCAGTACGAGGATCGTAACCAAACTTGCACCAAAGCCGACCCCAAGGTCCCGACTGGATGTAGAATGCATACTTTTGTAATAAGGTCCTAAAAGGTACGACCAGATGTTTATAGCTTCAGAAATTTCCTGGATACATCGAAATGAGGAGAGAAAACTGGAACCATGCTTTTCCTGACTGCGGTGCCAACCACGACCAGAAGACCTGAACGCGCTTGGCCGGGTTGAATACTAGTAGGCAGTACTGCCATTTAGACCCATACCCTCACTGCTCAATGTAGTAATCGTCAGCACGGGATTGAGTTCCCGTTACAATCTCTAACCGCGCCAATAGCTCAGAGGCTTCGGAAATCAACTGTCAACGTGGATTGGAAAGGAATTACGAATTATTAAAAATTAGCCGCGTTACAATAAAATCGCACTACAAGGGTGCGCAAAGGAGCCAAATTTTGGGCAAAGGCTTGAAGCGGTACGGTTCTACTCGCAGTTGCTTCTTGATGTTAAAAACAGAACGAACTTGAGCAGGTTCTCGTCTAGACCTGTTTTGTAAGCGATGGCATTTCTAGTCCACATCGGGCGCTCTCGAAATAGTGCAGCCAACATTCTGTGCGGCTCCTCATTTTTACACCTAAAACGTTACATAATCGGAATTCTACTTAGTACTTCAAGATTCTTCCTCAACTTCCCAAAAGTGGTGTTTTTTTTAAAAGCTTCCTCCACAAAGATTTTTCAAAAAGCTCACTGATCCGAGCTGTTTCAAGTTTGATGTCAAGCTGGCATAATTTCTAGCTCCGGTTACATTTAAAATCCAAACATTGTGCAAAACATTCCTTTCAAACGTTATAAAAAATCGTACCTAAAATCTGCATCAAGAACAGCTTCCTCAGTCGGAGCAACCGGGAACGGATCGTTAGCTTGCACGGTCACTGATAGCGCCTTTCGTTCAAGTCGTAGATCTTCAATAAAATGAACATATAGCTCTTACAAACACTTGGCGCTATTTGGCGACGGGGGGAGGGGGGGGCATTTTGTACTATCATTGCTTCCTTAGTTCCGGTTTACAAGTCTCACTCTGGCGAAACCTGTGAACTCTTGTGAAGCTGGAGCAAGGTCGTCAAGCCATCATGTTAAAACCTGTCAACTCGAGAAGAGGCTGTCTAGATAGGTCGATGGGAAGTAGCAAAAGTGCAAAATGCTTCCCCCACCCCGTTGCCAAACTGCGCCCAAACACTTTTATCGAGAACGAGTTGCCATGGTTGTTGAACAGAGATAGTTGATTATTAGAAAGAGAGAAAGAGGAGTAAAGATGATATTGAGTCAATTTTCGCTTACGGTCGTGTTAGCTGCGGATTAACGGGCGTGGTCATGCGAGAAGTACTTGGCACGGCGGCAAATCCGTTCTCCATCGGCTGTTCGGGTAACCAACAATTTTCGGCGAAAACGACTGATATGAACGACATGATACAATATTGTCGCTTGTTCGTTTCAACAACTGGTGGCGCCTCGCCATACCCATCCCGCCTGACATCCGCACCGAACAAAACTGTACTGTGAGTGGGATTTTACAACAGGAGGAAAGAAGGAGAGAATTTATATGTCAGAGAGTTAATAATGCGCTATTTATTTCAATCGGATAGAACATGGGTGCTTACTTTGTCCATGTCCTGTCCTTTTCCGAATCTTTTCTAGCGTAAAGTCCGATTCACGGCATAGCATCTTCGTGGATGGAGTGTTGTAGCGACTGAATTGGATAGGGCGGCAAGAACAAAGGGGGTGTAGCCAGGATAAGAATCGGGACGATCCCACCTAGAAAATGCAAAAGAATATCACTGACACACTTGCGAAAATCACCGTGAATGTTCACTTGAGAGCGAAATTGAGTGGCATAGGGACGATCTAATCCTCCTGAGGCAAAAAGAAGCTAACATTCAGTGATGTGTGAGAGAAGGAGGAGAACATGAGTGAGAAAATTCTGAATATGGGAAAAAACGAGAAACAGGGGATTGGAACAAACTATGCTGGAAAAAGGCGGTCACCAAAGATCATAAAGAGTTCATAACGTTACTATCCATCGAAAAAAAAATGGAAAATACCAGCAGAGGGCACTTGGAAGATCTCTTGGTATAAGACGAGGGATGAGATCGTCAAATCCTTCACCTTCCTGTCGCTTTTTCAACGGAAGATATTGGAAGTCGCACATTGTCTCAAAGGTATATAAGACGTTCACCTGTAAAACAGCTGTCTTCATTTACTAAATACTAAATGGTCGCAAAGTTTGGTTAATCAGTGGACTGGAAAACGACTGGACAGTGATGTCTGGAGTGTCAGCCAGTGATACCTATCCACTTAACACTCTATATCCCGGAAGATAGAGGAGTCGTAGCTGCGTACTCCATCTAGACATTGTGCAGGGTGCGGGATATTTCCATTTGAGACAACCGTCACCAGTCCTGGGCCGGATAAAGACATAGTAAGTATTGTACGAGAACGGCAACATTCCACCAGAAGCGCAGCCGCCGCCACTTTTAGATGGAATACGCAGCCACGCCCTCTCCACCTCTGAATATGAGGTGCTCTTTCAACATTTCACCTTCAAAACAGATACCTCAGATGAATGCGTTTATGATTTTGAATCTAAATTCGCTAGTACTAAATCGCCCTACATCAATAGCGTAACCCCAGATCGATACTCACCAAGCCTAAACAAGTCGTTTCTATGACGTCAGGCTTCTTCTTTCTTCGTCGGAACTCCATTACCAAGCGTAGCGTACCAGAAGTAACCTCAAATGAAGGTGATCAGAACGGTCATCAACGCATGTGATGGTTGTTTACCGTGGAATCAAGTTTCTTTTCGGAGACTGAGGCACTTGTGTACGGATTCTCTGGTGTGTGACGAAGCTCTAGTGCTTGACTAGCAAAGTG